TCTTGATTTAAGCAAAAATCCGATTGAATCAAGATTTTTCTTTCTTGTCGATGTTTTTAAGAGTCTGGGCTCTAGATCCAATGTGTTTTTTTTTCTAGTGTTGGGTCAGCCCAAAATATGACCCTCATTTTGGTATTGAATCCAGTGTGATTTGAAACTATCCTCTCAAATCACATATTACGCTGAATATTTTCCGATGTGCACGAATGGTTATTGGCTTCTCGACCTGAATCTCTGGGTGGTCAGCTTTTACTTGGACCGTTAATGAGCACTAGACTTCCCGGAGCCTCCACTTGCGAGCCGCTACTGGTCAGCTTTATTGGTTGGATGTCAATAAATTATTTGCGCAGAAGCACAGACCCTACAGTGAGTACCAAGGCTACAGCACCTTCGTAATCTTCTTTCACTTGATGCATGTCAGCGGGCGCTGATTGGCTGAAACGCCGTCGTACGTCGTGAACGGTCTTCTTAACATTTCAGACAGTCAACACTCGGCTCCTCACGACATTTAACCTCTTCTTCAGTGTATTCTTGCGACCTTCGAGATGACTCTATCGTCAGTATCAGAAAACTAATAAAAGGGAAATACATTGATCATACACTGATCCGTCACGCTCGCCTCCCCGCTCTCACCGGTCGGAATCGGTGCGAACTTAGCCGTTCGACGGGTACTGTCCCCGAGGGGTGCAATAAGCTTTCTTTTCGCGATCCGCCCGTCCGTTCGCGAGTAACCGCGGTCGGAAGTCGCGGATATTCCCGTAAGCCCGTGTGTGTTGGAAAGAGAGACGTAGCAGTGCGGGTATATTTCCTGACGCGGTCATTGCCGGGTGGCCGTCGGATACCTTTAGCTGCGCGCGTAATTGGCCCTTGATTTCCGCTGTTCTATGCTATGAACGGCAACACTGCGGGCCTTTCTATGTTTCATCCGATTATCAGCTGATGAAAGTTTTTGAGCTTTCTTATGTTTCCATAGTTATTCTTCTACGCTTACTGCTCGTATATAGCCAGAATAAGGTTCGGAAATTAAAGAGATTTTGACGAAAATGCTAAAGTAATAAATTTAGGCATTTTTTTTACTTCTTCCAACTCTGTGAAGAAACACTCCTCCTCCAGTCAATCTATTTTTTGACTACTCTCTCGCAAAGTACATTTACAGAAGGTGTGCTCCAGAATTAACAGTTCAGATTCGTGGTCTTTATTATTATAACGCTTATTTCGAAAAGCAATTAATACATTGTTTAATCCTACTGACTTTCAACATCGATTATACTCTCGGCAAATTCTGCAGCAGCGTTTCAAACGTTGACTTTAGAGTCAACGTAATCTCCAAAATGTCTGATAAAGCTTTCATGCGCTTCTACTTGTATGCATGAATGAGCATATTGGGTATCCAACAAGCGGACATTTTTTTAAAATTCAGATGATTCTTGACAATATCGAACAGAAGTGCAAGAGCTGCGATACAACCATTACATCTAGCTCATCAAAAGTTATTCGAAGATCATTCAAAAACCTCTTTGACAAGTTACAAAAACTTTTCGTTAACAATAGTGTCACACAGTACTTGGGATTATAGAAGTATGCATTAATTTTCCAGCGATCCAAATAAAATCAGTGAATTAAAAGTTATACGCATATATTATGAGATATTCCGATTTGTTTCCTGCAATATAGCCGCGCGAAGCGCGGGTTGACTGCTAGTATAGCATAATTTATCGTGAAATTACTTTATTTATATCACGGTATTGATATTTTGTAATCCTAGGCTGAGCTAAAAAGGAGGTAGTCTGGATACCGCGCCCCTGGCCCAAATCTCCAACCCCTATCAACAAGTTTCTTTTTAATTTTTTTTTCTTCAGTAGTGTATGTACCCCTCTTTCACCCTGCCTTGCGCCGTCCATGCTCGTCCCATTCAACCCTGTTCCTAAATTTTTTTCGACATCTTTTTTTACCTCAGTGTTTCTGATCGCATTAAATCAGGCATAGGGAAAACCCGGAAATGTTAGGGAAAATGTCGAAAGAGTCAAGGCAAAATTGATAATTTACCTCAATTCGTTTTTTAGAATGAATTTGACGTCTAAAACAACAAATTTTACCCGGAAACTATTTCAAATCATGTCTTTTTGGCCGCATGTTATGTTCAGTGAATTCTTCTCAAATGTGCCAGGGAAATGTTAGGTAATTTCATTTTCTAAATTTTGTGGCAACCCTGAGTGCACTGGGAAAAAAAACACATTGGATCTTCAGTCCAGACTCTTAGAAACATCGACAAGAAAAAATACTCTTGATTCAATCAGATTTAACCTTGAATCAAGAACCAAGCCTCTTAATTTGAACGGATTTCCTTTTGATTTAAGCTTAAATCTGCTTGAATCAAGAGTCCTTTTTCTTGTCAATGTTTTCAAGAGTCTGGACTCCAGATCCAATGTGTTTTTTTTTTTTCCCAGTGTGGACCACCTTTCAGTGGAAATCCTCACAGGTGTATGTACTAGCGGGCTACCCTACCCGCTACCCGGCTTCCAAATTTTCAGTTCCACGTCCACTGCAGCACGTTCCACCTGGATCATGAAATTGATCCTGTGTCACTTCCTTCGCACGACGTTACGATTAAAGCGAGGAAGTCTGAACATCTCGTCATCCGGGGGTTGGGGGGGGGCTCCGTGTGAAGTCATTTTCCCTCGGGCGCGGCGCGAGGCGATATTTCCCCCGGAGCTACCTTTTATCCACCTCGACCCCGGTCGACCCCTGGAAGCTTGACTTAATAGCGCGTGCGAATCCCACCCCCTGCAGCCCTACACGTCGTCCGGACGGCGACGGCTCGTTTGAGAGCACGTCAAAAGCACGGCGGCCGCCCGCGTTGCCGGATCTCGACGTCGAAACGAAAACCGCCTGAATCCCCTTCGGAACCCTGCGTGGATCCGCGGTTTTTGTCCGACGGGGTGGGGGGTTGACCCGTTTGGCATGGGAGGGCGGAAGGTAGGGTTGATTTGACGAGCGCGAACCAAGTGAGGCCCGAGCTATGATTGATTATGTATCGAGCCGGGCCGCAGACTGTGTGTCGGAGTGCCCGAGGAAAAATGTTCCTTCCCGTCTCTTTTTTTGTGCGTTTTAATTCACTTTTGTTCCGGGGGATGAACCTCCCCCTCGCCCCCCGACGGGCACCCCTTTCTCCCGCGCATCGTCTCTCCTCCTAAGTGATTTTTCGCCCTCGTCGCGTCGCTTTCAAGTCCCTCCACCTGACTGGAGCCTTGTGAGCATGCCAATGACTTTACCTCCTTCGCACCGTCGAGAAAAATCGGATTCTTTACACGGAGGAAAGCATCTCCTTTGCAGTTTTACGTTTCGTCAGGGAAGCGATTCATTGCGATAAGTCAAATGTTAGTTTTGACAACAGACGTCTTCTTGTCTATATGACAGGGTTGCCACAGTCAGCGAATACCGGGGATTTTAAGGAGTTGAGAAAAACCAGGAAATGTCAGGAAAAAAGACGAAAATGTCCGGAAAAAATTCTTGGGTCACCTTTATGTGCTGTCTAGAACGGGTTCGACGTTTCAAACAACACATTTTACCTGAAAACTACTTCTAATAATGTCTTGTCGACCGTCTCGCGTATCTTCAATTTTCAGCAAAATGTGTCGGGGAAATGAGGGAAATGTCAAGGAATTTCTTCCTCTAAATTCTGTGGCAACGCGGATATTAAATTCTTTTGGTTGTCTTGATCGGCCAGGCCCGGATTAAACGGGGCGCATGATATGAGGAGCCAGACGCCATCACAACAAGGACGCTGAAATGAAGGAAAAGAAGAGGAATATTGAAAAAGAGGAGAGAAAAATTGAAGAGTAACGATAAGTACCAAATTTACTGAGGAGCAAGCTACCCGCACGCAAAAATGTTTATCCCGCGCTGATACATTGACAGAGCGATGTGTCGTGTTGTCGTTTTCGAACCTCGCCTTCAATCTCACTGTATAGGCATCACCTATACCGGTGAGCGCGAATGTTATCCATTCGAAAAACACAGATTTATATTGCGCCATTAGTTTCGATTGAACCAATTAACAATGTTGTCAACAAAATGGCAGGTTTCGTCATTTTGAAGTCCGCCTTCAATTTTGCTGCATGCATAGTCAACAAAACATAGCGGAAAGCTGTTCGGTCCTAACATACATCTGTTTGTGCCTTTCGTATCTTTTAAAATTGAAAGTAATTTTAAACCGTTTAAACTTATGAAATCGCAATCTATAAATTTGCATTAATCACAAAATAAAGATTAAAACAGAATTATTCTTCAATTTGTCGCCAAGAAGAAATTTTCTCTCTAGTCTAGAAGAATTAGTTAAATAGATAGTTATATCAAGAGGAAATTCACTACAGCTAAACACAACCGTCTTTGATTCCGGGAAAAATCTTCTTAACAGCAAATGCAAGTTATTTTTTTCAGTGTATCCTCTGAACCAATTGAATTAATCTGTTGTGTTTTGATTTTCTGTTGCAGGCCAGAAAATGAAGATTGGTGAAAACGTGTTCCACGCGCGAAACATCATCCAACGCTTATTCCTAATTAGCCTAAACAAATACAGGCTCGTGATATAATACTCGCACCAAGAATATCAAACCATTCCCGCGCGCGGTATCAGTTCGCCGAGTGCATTCATGCCGAAGAGCAGGTGGAAAAGTTCAACTTTCAACTCAGCATATCATTCCCCCTGATCACACGCCATATCCACTTTTTATACTCAAGCCCTTTTATTTTTTAGCCGTCCCTTTCAGTAGCCTATATCCGCATATCATTTCGAAGTGTCTCCCCTAGAGTACGTATCCCGGCAACCCTACATATCCCGTTTACAAATCGTTTTCTTAGTGTGTGTGCGTGTGCTACGATGTGTGCGAAGAAGCGTGTTAGTCGAGCGAGCAATGACGGTGACAACCAGTGATACGGCGACGACTGCGATGTAGCCTACTAGTCATTCCATTAACTCATAGTCTGAATTTTGTAATTTTTTACGTAAAGGTTTAGTGTATCCCCGCGATGTACCTATCTAGATTTTACCTGTACATGCTCCGGCGTCGGTCGATCCTACTTAAGATCGCCGTGCTCATCACGACGGTGTGGCTGACGATAGCGGTGCTCCTGTTCATCGAGGACCGCGAGGCCATGTCGGGGCCGGGCGAGGGGGGCGGTGGGGGCCCCCCGGCGGCGGCGGCCCTCCGGCGGCCGGACCCGCAGCTCCTCCACAAGGACGTGGCCGGAATAGTTCCTGATAACAGCATCGATAGCGGGCGGAACATGGGGGTGGTAGAGGACCTCGAGGGGAAGATGGTGCGGCGGAACCTCGGGCGGGAGAGGGAGAGGGAGGAGGAGAGGAAGGAGGAGGAGAACGACGTGGGGGCGGAGCCGGAGGCGGAAGACGGGGTCCTGGCCATGCCCAAGGACGAGCTCCGCAACTCGGAGGAGAAGCTCTACGGGGAGTTCGGGGTACCGGTGACGTTCCCGTCCAACGTCTCGGGCGACGTCAAGAAGCTCATCGACGAGGGCTGGCAGAAGAACGCCTTCAACCAGTACGCCAGCGATCTCATCTCCGTCCACCGGAAGCTCCCCGACCCCAGGGATAAATGGTGAGTACGACTACTGCTTCGTTTTGCATCTTCTCTCTTGTTTTCCCTTCGCCCATCACTGGGAAAAAAGTCGCTTGGATCTAGAGTCCAGACCCTTAAAAACATTCATTGGAAGAAAAAGTAGCTTGGATCTAGAGTCCAGACTCTTGGAAACATTGACAGGAAAAAATACTCTTGATTCAATCGGATTTTTGCTTAAAATCAAGAGCCAGGTCTCTTAATTTAAGCGTGTTTCCTTTCGATTCAAGCAAAAATCCGATTGAATCAAGAATATTTTTTCTTGTCAATGTTATCAAGAGTCTGGGCTCTAGATCCAAGCTACTTTTTTTTCCAGTGTTGACAAGGAAAAATACTCCTGATTCAATCAGACCGTTTGCTTGAATCAAAAGGAAATCCGCCTAAATCAAGTGGCTCGTTTCTTCGACTTAAGAAAAATTCGGATCGAATCAAGGGTATATTTTCTTGTCAATGTTTTTCAGAGTCGGGACTATAGATCCAAGCGACTTTTTTTCCAGTGCAGGGTGTTTACTAGTCCGGAATATCTGGAAAGTCCGGAAATAGTACTGATTTTTTAAGGGCAGTCCGGAAATGGTGAGAAAGTGTGGAAATTCCGCAAGAAGATCCGAAATTTTTTCCCCCATACCTTGCGTGTTTTGTAATTTAGCCCGGAAAGACTTCAATCCTCTGCCGTTGATTCTTAGAGTAGTATTTGCCTGCAAGATCGCGATTGTGCATTCAGTTAATCTTTCAAACGACAATGAAATTTTACGACTTTCTCATAGGTGTGTGTCGAACACTGCCCGGGACTTCAAGGCGCCTAATAGACGCCGGTATCAGGGTGTCTACACAAGTCCTGAGTTTCCGGAAAGTTCGGAAATAGTACTGATTTTTTGAAGGCGGTCCGGAAGTACTGAAAAAGTGCGGAAATTCCGTTAGAAGGTCCGGCTTTCCATTTTTCTCGCAATTTGAGAGAGAATTTAAAATTTTTGAAATTTCTCGAATTTCTCCAAATGGAGTCACTGAAAAAGTACTGGATTATTCCGTTGAGGAGGCACTGAATTGTTTGGGAATGTACCGAAAAAATACTGTGAAAGTACTGATCTTTTGCGAGGCTGTTTTAGTAGACATCCTGTCCACCCCACCTCACATCTCGTCGCTCCCCTGGCGTATAAGGGCATATCTCTATTTTCACACGAGCCCCAAAAAGGATTCATATGTAAAACAGGGCTTACGTGGAAATCGAGAGACGCCCTTACGTCAGAGTAGCGACCCCTGGTAAAAATTGGCGATAGGAGCTGCGTTTCAAAATACCATAGCCGACTAAAGAAGGCGATAGAAAATCGTATAGCTGGCTGTAGAAAGTGGAAAAAATCATACGGCCGGGCTACACGAAGCGATAAAAAATTATACAGCCGGGCTATAGTTCCTATCGCCGGGCTTTACATCTTATCGCCTGGCTGTAGCTTTTTCGCCATCGGCTATAAAAGGCTATAAGAAATTGTGTAGAAATTCGTGTGCTTTGTAAATCCTTAAGTTTGCACGGAATCAACTTAATATTTACAAAACGCACATTATATTTTCCTGTACTACATATTTTTTTTCATCAATAATTAAAATGAGAATAATCCATACAGAGGGTGCAAACATTTCAAAGTCATGAGTTGAAAAACGCTGACTCCACGAGAATAAATATTAGAGCCTAACACAAAGCGGAGCGGCGGCGTACTGGCGCCTACAAACCTAACAGGGATACTTCACGCATTGCGCAATGCGTGAAGTATCCCTGTTGGGTTTGTAGGCGCCAATGCGCGTTTCGCGCCGCAGCGTACCACGGCGCTTGAAACAACTATTTCACACTAGCGGTATTGCACAGTATCATACGAAATTGAAGGCGCTACAACATATTAGGAATGGCAGGCATCCTTCAAAAGTACGGAGCTTTCCTCGCAAAATAAATCAAGATACTACGGCCCAAATAGAGAGAGCGGTACCTAGTCCAAAAACTCACTAAGTCCTAGCATCCGTAATTAGTAACGGATAGCATACACTTTATCGCCAGGTTGTTGCTTCATCGCCATCGGCTATGAAAGGCTATAAGAAATTGTGTTGCCAGCTATAGGAGCTATTGGAAATCTTACAGCCGGCTGTAGGTCTTTGGTATTTTGGAACACAGATTCTGCTGCCAATGGACCACTAGACAAGGTACGAATTCAAGCGATCTGATACATGTTTCTTAACCAGAATTTCACGTAGAAAACGATTCACACAACGAAAATTACTGAAACCAATTCCTAACGAAGATATTAACGTTTTTATTTCACATTGGTCACGAGGAACTTGAACTGGCCGCTCACAAGAAACTCAAAGCTCTACGTGGGTCAAATCGCTCACTACAATGGTTTCAGCAAGCTTCTTAATCTAGCAATGTTCATTTCCCACCATGTGTTGTTCAAACTATAAGCAATTTGCTATAGCTGAGCCAAAGCTTCAAGATTGAGGTTGCCAGATTTTTATATCGCAGAAACTGTCATGATAAACGTTTAGCGCGCGATGTGAATCACGTAGAGCATTGAGTTTTCATGAGCGGGTGGGTTCAATTCACGCATCAAGAATCATTAAATATCTTCGTAAGGAGTTAATTTTGGTCATTTTCGTTGTGCGTATCGTGTTCTACGTGAAATTTCGGTTAGGAAACATGTATCAGAATGCTGAAATTCGTACCTTGTCTAGTGGTCTATTTTTACCGGGGACGACTTTGGCCATTTGTCGTAACTCCATTCCAAGCTTGCAAAATTGACACAAATAATCGCCCACTCAATCGACTCTCGAAAATTCTTCACAAGAGCCCATTTCCCGGACGTTGCGTACTGGATCGCCGGTTGAATAAGGGTTCTTTGCGGAAGGTATTAAATGTCCAGCCCCAAGTTCAATCAAAGTCCCGGAATCGCCTTTTCGAGCGAAACACTCTCACTGTTCACTCGGGTCGTAATGACGACCGAAAATAAAGGGACCCAAGGCATGTTTTGTTGATTGATGCGGGGTTGCTAGGCAACGTTATCCTCCCGCAGATTAGCCGAGGCCGAGGAAATCCGCGGCGAATTAATTCCGCTTTCATTCTCCGAATCATTTCGTTGTGCGTTCCGCGTTAATGAAGGGTGACCCCTCTCGTAAGCCGTTGGCCGTTTTGCCGCCCCTGATTTCGGGAATTAAGGACTTGCCCCAGCCTCCTCCGGTCAGTTTCCTTCAACCCTTTAAGTGAATCGGTTTGTTTTCAAAAGGGAACAAGTCCATTTTTGCATGAGCCTTGGCTTGCGTTTAAGGGCACACTAACTAAGACTCATCGAGGAATGTACTTGTTCCCTTTTGAAAACAACTGATTCAAGTCCCATTGAAAGCCGACTGAATTTGAGACCTAAAGGATGGTCCAATCTCAAGAAACATGCCCTTATCACTTCAATGTTGCGAAATATACCCTATTTTTCACTAAAAGATTCTCTTTTGTCCATTGGTGTCTTGGCATTAAGGGGAAGCTTTTACTTTCGGGAACTAAGCGCTCAACCTGTTGACCTATCTACTAGGTGGATGTTTAACAACGTGTTGAGCATTTCATTCTGTAAATGAACCAAAGTTTAGTAGACTTATATGGCTCATTACGTCATCGAAAAGCTCATCATCCACCTAATAGGCATAATCTGTCTTTCTTTTTGATAGCTTAACCAGCCGATGGAGTTATTGCATGTGCGTGAGGAATTTGCGATTTGACTATTGATTCTTATGTAAAAGTTCGCGAGAAACACGACGGTCCCGCTGATTTTCTCTGAAATCAATTCCCAAGCTCAAAAAAAGCTCTCCAAGTTGAGGGCGTAATGGAGGGGATATCCCACGCTATCCTGAGAGTCCACCTCTACATCAAGACAAACTCTCCATGCAAAGATAGGGAGTAAATACATTAGCAGGGTTCCGTGTTTTCAGTTTTAGAGTCCCCAAGTAAATTGGCAGCCCTGTCAATGTATTTGCTCCCTATCTTCGCATGGAGAGTTTGTCTTGATGTGGAGGTGGACTCTCAGGATAGCGTGGGATATCCCCTATATTACTCCCTCAACTTTGAGAGCTTTTTTTGAGCTCGAGAGTTGATTTCAGGGAATCAATAATCAATCGACAAATCGTAAATTCTTCACACATGCAACACCTCCATTGACATTCCAATGAAAATTATTAAACCTGTCTAGAAAATTTAAATTAACTATATTTGAAGTATTTTTTTAGTTTATCGCCTCCTTCCCCTTCTTAGTTGGTTCGCTACTTTATTTTCTCGATGTTTTCGTTTGCAGGTGCAAGGAGCCGGGGCGATACCTGAAGAACTTACCAGCTACCTCAGTCATCATCTGCTTCCACAACGAGGCCTGGTCGGTGCTCCTGCGAACCGTCCATTCCGTCATCGACCGATCGCCCCCTGAACTCCTCTCCGAGATCATCCTCGTCGATGACTACTCAGACATGCGTAAGTTGATGTCCTGTCTCTAATTTCCACCCTTTTCGCTCAGCTATGGAATAGTGGCGTGGCGTGCTTTATGATGTATCGATTGATATGCTATTCAAACCTATGAAAAAAGATCGATTATCAGGCTCCTCGCAACGAGCCCCATTATAATCGATTTTTTACCATAGCTTCGAATTGGATAATATCGATAGTCCATTAACACGCCTCGCCAATGCTACCCTTCCGTAGTGGAGAATTTGCAGGTGTCTGAAATTTTGTAAATTTCATGTTTAAATGAAACGTCTAAGAGAACTTAGCACGAGGATTTCTTTGGTTTCTAAATCGAGCATTTATTGGAGAAAATGTGACAAATTAACTTCCGATCCGATTAAGCTGATAAAATACACGTGTTTAAATGGGAAATTCCTCCAGATGACGTCACAAGGTGGCCCATTTTCTCACTTTTAAATCTATTTTTCTAAATTTTCCCATTTCAGAAAAAAATGATGAAATATACTGCGAATTTAGCTCACTGAGTACTCTCAGATTAAACAATAGCATTTTTTCGTACTTTCTCCATTCACCCGTAACACAAGCCTATGCCTTCCAAGTATGCACGTAACGTAACGCTCTGTCCAACATCCCTGTTGAATAGGCATTTTGTGATGAATTTCGGATGAAATATAATCACCTCGCGTCGATTTGTAATCGTAAATCTCTTTCCCTGGTATGAACTCATAAAAAAGACGCTTAACGCATAACGCCAGAAGCGCGAAGCGCTTGGAGGGGGTGTGACATCCTCATTTTTGAAAAATCGGCGGATTTCAGCGTTTTTTACTCCGCACTCTTGGACCCTCTTCAACCCTCTGTAACAAATTCGTACTGTAAGGCAGTTCTAGACGGTCTGTGCTAGAACGCTTCGTACTTTATGAACGGCCCCACTCCGAAAGATGAAAGTTCGCCGTTCGATAGGAAGTATCGACCAGGGAAATTAGCTGTGCTGCACTTGAAGTGGAGGGTAGCGAGGGTGAATCGATCCCGCTTCCTCCACGTTGGGAGCATCCGACTGAAGAGTGTAAATAAATAGTGTATGAGACGATCGGAAAGATGACTTCGTCCCTCGCCCCGCACCCCTCGCGCCGGGAGTCTCAAGTCGGTGGAAGCTGTGAGGCAGACGAACTGTGGGTCTGTGGACTGTGGATAGAGAGTGCGGTCCGGTCCGGGTGAAATCGTGTGGAATAGCAGGTTAGCGCGGTCAAACGCCATGGCGTACACATACTCTGCGCGTCGCACAACCGGCTACTTGTCCAAAAATAATTTATCTCATTCCTAGGAAAGTTGCTCTGATCGTGAACTTACCTTATCTTACTCTACTGTCAAGGTTGCGACAGTAAGAAAAAACCGGGAAGTGTAAGGAAATTTTAAAAACTTAGGGAAAACCGGCAAATGTCAGTGTAAATGACGAAAATGTTACCTTACTCTATACTCGCAAGGTTCGCCACAGTCAGAGAATACCGGCAAAACCGGGAAATGTCAGGGAAGTTTAAAAAGTATGGTAAAACCTGGAAATGCTAGGGAAAATGACGAAAATGCCAGGGATAAATTGTCAAGTCACCTTTATTTGCTTTCTCGAGTGGGTTTGACGTTTGTAATAAAAAAATTTTGCCTGAGCACTATTTCTAACTACAGTTAAAGCTCGCGAAGTAGTTGAATTGGGTATGGACCGACAAAAATTTCGACCCAAGCGGCAATTTGTCATACCCGATTTGCCACATAACTTATGGACGTGTCTAGGAACCAAAAACAAACTCGACTTAATCGACATTTGATCTTAACCGTAATTTGATTTCGTGAGCTTTTATTGTATGTCTTTTTAACAATCTGGCATTTGTTTAGTTGTCACGGAATTTCACCAAAATGTGTCAAGGAAATCAGGGAAATGTCAGGGAATTCAATTTTCCAAATTCTGTGACGTCCTTGGGGTTAAAAATCGAAAAAAAGTACCGGGCAATTTTTATAGATAGTGGCCCAGCGGAGACTTGGGTTTTATCGAAAGTTTGGCCGTTATTCTGGGAGTTGTGCCGAGTGTGCGGCGTGTCGTCGCGTCTCGGTCAAAGAGCCGGCCGAGCCGGAGACCGGGAGAGGAAGACCAAGAGCTCCAAGTTGAATAGTCAATAGGTTAATGCAGTTACGCTTCTCCACATTTGCCGCTCGGCGGAGAAAATCCCCCAGGCCAGATTCACTCCCGACTCCAGGACCCGACGGAGATGCATCGTATGTTAGGCTCACGACGCACGGCCCGGTGACAACGCGACCCACGAGTTGGACCTTTCGGGGGCCAGGATTACCCCCATGGAGATCGTGTCTCCGCACTCTCGAAACCAGTTCCGGTAGCCTCGGCCCAAAATGTCTATCGAGCAATCGAGATTTAGTTGCACTATAACTGCCCGGAACGCTCTTAGGCATGGGTTGAGCATTTTGTGTGTGTGAGTTGGATCTCGAAAATCCTAGGTTTTTTCGAACGCTTTTGAGAGCTGTGGCCCCGCACCCATTTCCTCTGCGGATGGAATCTGGGAGGTCTTGTCTCGCGAATCTTGGCCATTTTTCTCAAACCGCTTTTATTCGTGAAAATTCAAGAGTTGGGTCCAGAAGGTGTTTCAGAATTTCACTGCCGAGGCATATTTCAGAGAGGAAACTATTGGGTGAATTTTTTTAAACTTTTTGTTTCAGCATTGAAAAATCATGAAGAATATTTAGTAAAAGTGTCAACAAATTACGTATATTCGCGTTAAGCCACATTTTCAAATTCTATGTTTGTAAAAATTGTCATGTCAGCAAAATGAAATATCAATTAAAAGTGAACAAGTCAATTTTCCAATTCGCTTGAATTCCAAAGATACCAACAAGCGGGCAATCTTGTGTTCAAGTCGTTGACAAGTCCATTCAAAGTTACAAAATTAAATATAAAATCAATGAAATGGATGTTTCTGAAAATCCTATTTACGAAGAGAGAAATTACAAGGAATGGCCGTAAGGAACAATCATTGGGAAAGTCCGCAGTCATAGGACTTTCTGAAGAGCCGCGAGAGAGAAATTCTAAAAAAAAGTTATAACCTAACGGGAAGCTCTGTGCATTTCGTTCGGTTACACCAGACCTGATAGACCTGAGAGATGGACCTGACCAGCGCATATTTAAAACCCCCTTGACATGATTATTTCTGAACCTCCACAAGTACCCAACGTCTCGAAACCTTGAAGCACTCGTGAATAACTCGCACCGTTGAAAATCCACGAGAAAGAAACAAGGACGAGCGAAAAATTATTGTGTTAAATTCGAAGGAAGCCCAGCCCCTATAGATCGTATTCGATACATCAAACGGGTGCGATTGTATCGATATCGATTGGTTCAAAACATAAACATAGCCCCAAAAGTAAATCCAGAAATCTGAAAGAACGGGTCTTTTGTAACAGATTTTTTATTCTTTCGAGTACCAAATGCCAATGCAAAGTGAAACTGTCAGGAAATTTCTCATTTTCAGCTTTTCCGACTTAAATCCTTACATTTTGGTTTGAGGTTATGTTCCATTGTTTCGAACGAAACACCCGTATCGAATACGGTCTATTGCAAATCATATCGATGACGACGGTCGTACTTTTCCAGGTTAAAACCCTCCGCCTTTCCTCCAGCCCATGACTGTAAATAGGAGGAATTTTTCCGCGTTTTGGCAACGTCGCTCTCGGCCGCATCCTCGACCCTAAGAGCTTTTAATATTTACTTTTACGCATTAATTTGTTGAGTTCCACTCGTAGACCGCGCCAGCTCCGAGCTTCGGCATCTCTGGCCATGGTGAGAGTCTCACCTGCGTTGCCGTACGGGTCCAGCGCCGGAAATATTTTCAACCCCCCTGTTATCGATCATTGAACCTGGAAGCTTTTTGCTCGGAAAACATTGATGCCCTCCACGGCAATCACGACTGACGACGACTTTTTAGATTTTTTCGAAAGTTCCGAGAAAATTCCGGAAAATTCCGGAAAATGCAAACGATCCGGAAAATTACGAGACTTTCAAAAGTTCCGGGAAAAATTTGGGGAAAATGCAGGAAAATTCAAAAGTTCCGAAATTCGGAACTAGTTCCGGATAGAGTACCTTTATAGACAGAGTATGGCCATTTCTGTGCCGGTTTTTCATTGGTTGCGAGCAAATAAGCTGACACGATGTTCTTACGGCCGTAAATAAACAAACAAGATGGTTGTTATCAGCAGGCCCGCCACAAGGGGGGGGATACTGGGTCCTTGGTACCGGGGCCCGTGACGCAGGTGACAAACCACTACGAATTCATGTGTAACCCTTGTCTCGTAGGGAAAAGTGAAAAAATTACCCTAAAAATTCCGCAAAAGGTGAATAAAGTTTCAAAAACACGCTGGGGCACTATAAAATTTTTCTTACTTTTTCAGAGATTTTCAAGATTTTGAGTATATGTAGAATGATATTTTTAGTAACTGTGTTTCATTTTCTTCCGTTGTCGGATGCTAGGAGGCTCCTTTCTGGGCATCCTCGACTTCAATGGCTTAACTCCCTTGCCATAGACGTACGAAAGGGGAGTCCAGGGGGGCCCGGCTCCCCATAGAATTGAAAATTATAAGCTTCCCCCTCAAAAAAAAAAATTTATAGATGTTTTGAATGCAACAATTCGAAAGTTTTTGGTGCTGAAAGTAAACAAAAAGGCGTAATTATTCTGCAAAAATTGATGGAAAATCTCCATCATAAGAGCTTCATAATGCGTCCAAATAGATTTAAAATTTCAAAAATTTCCCGGGGGAGGCCCCCCGGACCCCCCCCCCTTGTGCTAGGGGCCCAGGCCAGAAAATTGGTACCAGGGCCCGAGATGGGATGTGGCGGGCCTGGTTATCAGCACGCAAGTTTGAGGATATGCACATCTTACATCCCACTGTGATAAAGGCGAAAGGCAATTTGACGGTGTTCATCATGTGTTATTCGCAGATATTCTAGTTTAAATTGT